GGGGGGGGGGGAGGAGGTTATGTTGCTGCTGATGTGTACTATATAGTTAGGCGCACAATGGTTGCATCTGTATGAAAGCACAGACTTTTTTTTCTTGTCATTATTCCCTAAAGGATACAGTATAGCAACTATTTATTTACAAAGCCTCTACATTGTATTATGTATGTAAGTATCTAGAGATGATTTAAAGTATGCAGGAAGGATGTGTGTAGGTTACATGCAAATACACCATTTTATATAAGGGACTTTCACATCTTCGGATTTTGGTATCCAAAGGGGTCCTGGAACCAATCCCCTGCGGACAGAGAGGGATGACTGTAGTAACAGGATGAATTAGTTAGTAAAGGCAAAAGCTGCACTGAGTCGGAGTGGAGAAGTACAGCTGAATGGAAAAAAAATTAGTGAAGTGGCCAGAATCCTCTTTAAGAGTAGGTATTTAGGTTCAAAGTAATAAAAACAGTAACTCACACTACCCAAAACACTAAGCATTTGCCTGGCTTTACAAGTGTTTATTCTCTTTTAAATGGATCTCACTGCTATCTAAAACTCAGTGACTATTAAAGATAGCAAAAGGTCACAGAAAAAAGACAACTGACCCAGGGTCATCTAAACAAACCATAACTTAAGTCCTTTTCCTAGACACAAACTTCTGTGTTAACAAACCCAACTACAGGGACCAAATTAGACCAAAAATGAAACAAGCTATAGGAGGTTCACCTAAAGCAGTATCTTGTTTTAAAATGTTACAAATACCAAACCCTTCCAATTCAAGATAAGCTATTCCCTTGCATCCATTTCTTAACTATCATCAATTTACAGATATACCTAAATTGTAAATTATTTATTTTTAAGCTTTCTGCTAGCTTTAAGGTTTATACCCCTCTCTACATGATCCCAATATATATTTGTCTTAGAATGAAATTCATCTTATAAGAAACCATCAATTAAAAAATATGTTCCAGTCCGGCAAGCAGCCCAGTTGGTTGGAACATCAGCCCATACACCAGAAAGGTTTCGGGTGCGGTTCCCGGTTAGGGCACATATCTAGGTTGCAGGTTTGATGCCCAGTCAGAGCGAATTCAGGAGGCAACCGACTGATGTGATGTTTCTCACATCTCTCTCTCTCTAAAATTAATAAACATATCCTCAGGTGAGGATTAAAAAATTCTTCTAAAAAACATGTTGCACTCTAATATGTAACAGTAACTTAACAAGTGCCACGGAATCACAGAATACAGAAATGCACTAATAACACTTGTATTTGTTTACATATAAACACTGAGCTGCTGAGTGTCACGGCAGATCCCAGGGACAGTTAGCCAAAACCCACCAATGACCACTTCATGGGGAGATGAAAAGACTCCGAACGACAGACTAAACGGCCGTCAGGTTTTGGCCATCACATACAGGCTGTGCTGCTCAATTGCAGAACACTGTCAAGTTCAAAACTCAAGCTAACAGGCTCTTCTAAGACGGAAGTTTTCCAGTTTAAACTACTGAAGCGCCATCTGTTCACTTCCAAACCGCCACGCTCCTCCTTCACCTTTTACCCTGGGAAGTCCTGGGGCTCTGAGGAACACAGTTGGAAAAAATCACTGTTCTAAACACAGAGGGAGGCAACAGGCAAAGAGTGCTGCCATCTCTCTCTTCTTTTTTTAAAAGAAGATTTCTGGCTGATTCGTGCCTGGGTAAGATATATCTTGAAGTTTGATTCCAAGTGTCTGGGTAACTTGCTAGCTTTCCTAACTACTACTTCCTCCAAGTCTTCTATCTAGTCTAATAAGCCATGGTTCCATTGTTCCTAGCCTGAATCCACTGGCTAAAAGTAAGGAGTATGAAATCTAGCACACAGCACACGTGCAGATATATGCTCACGTGCATAATAATAGTGGTCACCACTTTTGGTTTGAAACCCTAAAAATTAAAGCATAAAAGCTCCTTAAAAGGCTTTTATCTATTATGAAAAACCATCTTTAAAAATATTGTCTCAAAAATCTGCAAGAAAAAAATACCCTAAACTGTTAATGGTGATCTGTGGGTGGTAATATTAGAGATTTTTATTTTCTTCTTTTTGTTTATCCACATTTTTTACTTTTCTACAACTCATATATTTCCTGTGTTTTTTAGTCTAATTATTATAATTTATTTATGACTTTTGCCTGGGTTTTGATTTGTCAGAATAAAATAGTTCTAAACAGTAACCAAAGCATTCTTTTCCTCTATAGACTTCACAACTCCTAGTTTCCAATAAATGCCTAAAGTTTCTTGACAGTCCCAGTCTCCCAATCAGAGGCTCTGACTTTCTAGAGTTAGTACGGCAGGTGAAAATGCACCAAATGCTATACAGCAAGCGTCCTGGCAAAGGGCACTCAACCTTCTCATTGGCCAAGGTGTTCTGGTACCAACAGGTCGAGCAGGGCCAGCCTGGTTTGGAATGAACGCCAGCACATACTGGTCTCAGAGTCAACCTGGGGGATTCAGGTGCACTATTTTGGTTTTAGGGATCCTGGGGGGCAAACTGGGTCCTCAGCTTTTCTCTACAATAGTCTATCCAATGGGACCAACGACTGAAAAATGCTCCATACCAGGGCGGCTTTCTACCTGTATCTTTTGAGGCAGAGCGCAGAGCAGACCCCAGGCACCCCGAGTTGGTATTACAGGTTAAGCTCACCTTTGTGACCATGGTCTTCACCCCATGAATTCTCCACTCTCCATTTCATGAATGCACCCTCCTGGTCATCCTGCAAAAAAGTAGATAAGAGTGGATAGTATGAAACCAGATCCCTCCCGCTGACGTGTCATGCTAATGTTCACTTCTCTTCAGCCACTCAGAAGAAACAGCCTCCTCTGTACAGCCAGGATACACACACATGATCAGGGCGTGTCCTTTCCACTGTAACTAAAGGGATGCTCCAACAGAAGTGTGTGAAGCCCTTGGGGTAAAAATGCAATGAACCTAAGAAAGCAATCATACTTTCTCCTTTATACGCTATTCTATACAGAAAATAAGCATATTAAAATGCTAGTTGGCTAAAAAATATATATACATATATTAAATTACTAAAAGCAGTGAACACCATCTGAAGCCAGGACTCTTGCTCTTAACTGATTGGAATTCTTTGCAAAAGTATCCCAATGTATTTATTTTAGAAATTATTCTAAGATCCGGTCAGCTCAAGAAAGAAAACAAACACATTCTCACCACACTGCCTGATTTCCTGCTTAGGGGAACCAAGTACCGATACTCTCCAAACATGCGCCTTTACTGATTCAGCCACACTAATACTGAATTTAATACAATAGAGACTGAACGGCAAAGCAAAAGTAACAAGGCTATTTTCATAAAACAAAACCCAGGCAGTGCTACTGTTCTCCCTCGTCTATCTTCGTTAATGAAATAAGCTCAATTTTCATCTTCTTAAAGGAACAACGATGCATATCACAGAAACCTTCACTTACAGTCTTTACTACAGTGACACAGAGAGGGACAAAAGGCAGGCTCCATTCGAGAAAAGACTGTTTCAGGCTCAGTCGGGGCATTTACTGATGTCAAAACAACTTAAATCTTTATAGCATGAGAAGAGGGCTGGCTCTGGTATTATCTCCTAATGATTTCATTGCTCGATTCCCACCTGCACATAACTGCCTGAGTCTCATCTACATGGGATTTGACTCTGTTCTTGGCACTTTTCTTGGCCCTCAGAAATTTTCAGTCTTAGAAATACCCAACAACCAAATCCACAAATTTCAAACACTCTTATCTGTACTACCCCTTGATTTTAGCCCCAGGTTCCTTCAAAACTCCATCATTAAAGTATACATTCTAAGACTAGCCTATTGAATGTCTGTTTTGGTTTTCTGCTCCCTCCACTGTAGTCCATCTTTACCTTACCTTTAAATATCACTGTCAGAATCTATATTACCTAAGGTCATTTATTACAGTAACTCTGAAAATGCTTCCTCTTCTTTCCTTTGCCAATGAATTCCTGCATGACCTATATCAAGACGTTCTCTGTCATCGACAAATATAGAATACCTGGATTTCCCTCATAGGGATTCTAAGAAATCAGCAATAAGAATATCCCTGAATACAGCCACTAGCAGTTATCTTTGCATTACCATTAAAATGTAGTGCAAGCTAGTTTTAGTGGTCAAAAACTCAAACTGGAGCCCCGGCCGGGTGGGTGGAACACTGTCCCACACACCAAAAGGTTGGGGGTTCAATTCCTGGTCAGGGCAAGCATGGGGGGCAACTGATGGATGTTTCTCACATCGATGTCTCTATCTCTCTAAAAATCAATAAAAACAATATCCTTGGGTAAGGATTAACCCCCCCACACACACAAAAACCTCCCCCTCAAGCTGGAGGGAAGAGAACAATTTCATTATAAAATTCCAGTTGTGATAATATAAATTCTACTTTATACTATTAGCATGTAAGGTAGCTCGATTTCCCTGAGGAAAAAAATGGCATGTTAATAAACCATGCCAATCAAAGAATGAAAGTTCAAGAGAAAATGACATGGTATGTATGATTTTTATTTCTGAATAAGTATGTATGATTATTAATTCTGAAAAATATAAATACTCTATATCAGAGATGGAAAATAATAAAAAGCCAAGCTTCTCTTAGAAATTATAAAATTTTTAGTTTGTTTCTTAATAGTTTTCTAAAAAGTTTAGAAGTTTAACCTTAATTTCAAGAACTTTAGTTATAAATACACTGAATTTAGCAGGTCCAAACATGTAAATATGAACAACTTAGTATCTTAGTAGTATTTTATTCTATTTTATTTACTTTAGTATTTTATTTTATTACTTGTGGTATTTCATGACAAGTTCCTTCTAATGTAAAGTTATTTATTTTGTGACTTTCTTTCCAGGAATTAGATAACCTATTAGAAAAAGAACATGTTTGCTTGTGGTGGTAAAGAATTTAAGTAGTTTGAAGTCTTTTCCTCCTTATGATCCCTGAGCACAGGTGTAAAATATCCTTTCTACAGCCTAGAAATGGGGAGGCTTATGTGAAAAATAAAGTTTCAGCTGTTGTTTCCAACAGTGTGTCCTAGAAATAGTGGTATTACTATTCAGGTATTTCATAGGAAATTCAAAATACTTTACATCCAATTTCCTGAAGCTCTGCATAAATCCAGTAATGGATGGGCATGGAGTCCACAAATTACTGTTAGTGACATTTTACTGCAGAAGAATCTAAATGACAAATGAAAGGAAGGTAAGTCTGAACACAAGTTATCAAGATATGAACACTTTCAGGGCACATTTAAACCGCTTATTCAACAGAAGTTATCTTCTCCCAGATTCCCTTGCTGACCTCTCTTCACACCTAGAGCTTCCAAAGTTATAGAAAAGCATTTACTTCCTTACTCCCTGCTGACCCAAATTCTGCTCCCCATGGAAAGTTCCTATTTTTACTACCTCTGAGTTGCAGCCAAACCTCAAGTGACGGAGGTACAATGTCTTGCTTGGAAGCTAACTTTTAACAAAACTCATATACACTATGAGTGAAGCTCTGATGGATAAACAGTCTGCAGGAGAATGTAGGTCCATCTGTGCAAACACTGTGGCAGGCATGCTAAGGGTCATACCTTCTCTGAGACGGCAGTGAAGGTCATGGCGTGGGTCATAAGTGACTCACCAAACGTCAACCTCTCAGCTTTGTTCATGTTCTTCAGGGAGATACCAAACACTAACTCATGGTCATAGCTGTAAAAATAAAAAAGACAGTACAGAATAAAGAGAGTACAATCAAGGGGGACAGATAGATAGCTCTGGTTGTAAAAGAAACAGAAAAAACTGAAGGAATCCAGTAGCTCCAAATAAACATGGCTGTAGCTCTTCAGAATTCAGTCTCTCAATGGCATTCTATTCTCTATGTGTCACAGGAGTATTCAAGAAAATATAAAGTGATTAAACATAAACTTCCTATATTATAAAGCTGACAGGATGAGCCTGGGTTGTCATTTTGGCAATAAAACTTCAAAAAAAACTTTTGAAGTAACTTCTTTCAAAAATGGTCTCCTTTAAACTAGTAGGAGCACCTGCTTTCTGAATTCATTTAGACTACTGCTGACTATGAAATTTAAATAAATAAAAAATATTGGAGATTATTTTCAAAGTTAAAAGAAAATCACAAATTCTCTCTTTTAGCAGATTTCTTTTCTCCCATTAACTGTCAAGTTATTTACTTAACTTCTTACAAGTAACCTATAAGTTACAATTACCTATAAGTAACCCTAAAGTGGGACATCTTAATAGCCAAGAACTCTCGTACAATTTTATTCACAAATGAACCTTCTTTATTGTGATCAACAACTAGGAAGAATGCTTTAAAGTGTGTATATAAATTAGTCCTAGTTGTCATAAAGACAAAAATATATAATTCACCCAATTAAGATAAGTAGTTCAGAAGGACTGAACAGCAAACAAGAGGTCTGGAAAACCTTTCACTATATCCCCAAATCTCTGAGCAAATTCACACAGTAATCAATTATTTTCTTTAAGTGCCTTTCTCATATAGGATGGCTTTTTAGGAACATCCAACAATTTCAATGCAGACACAAAGTATGATCTTGATGCCCTAGGTCAGAGCATATAAGTATGTGGAGTTTTTGTTAAGAGTCCTCAAGCTCGCCCAGCTGGGCGTGGCTCAGCGGTTGAGCGCTGACCTAGGATCCAGGAGACTGAGGTTCGATTCCTGGTCAGGGCACATGCCCGGGTTGCGGGCTCGATCCCCAGCCGGGGGCGTGCAGGAGGCAGCCGATCAATGACTCTCATCATTGATGTTTCTATCTTGCTCCCTCTCCTTTCCTCTCTCTAAAATCAATAAAAATATATTAAAAAAAAAAAAAAGAGTCCTTAAGCTCTACAAGATGAAAAATCTTACTCTCTGGGTGAACCTCAGCAGAGTCATTTCGTACCAAGAGTGCACTCCCAACAGCAACAACCCACAAATGACTATTTTAAATTTCTTGCACTCACACATTCATGTCACTGAGGCCCAGCTTGCTATTGAAGTGTTTTCCAACATCACAGCCAAACCACACAGCCTAGAAATAGAGGAAAGAAGAAGAAGGTCAACATAAGTCCCATCTTCCTACTACACCAAGGAAGTGGAAGAAGAGGTTTTCACCCCAAAGCAGAAGACACAGAAACAGTACCAACCTCTCCGTCTTTGATGGAGGCAGCAACCATCTTTTTCAATACGTCAATGGGCTGGTTGTTATATAGAGTTTTTCTCCCTCCGACCATATTGCTTAAGTAGTCCACCGTGTAAAGTTTGTTGTACTTGTGCTGGGGCCGAGGGTCATTCACTAAACAAATCTATTGAGATCAAGATCATGCTGATAAGAATCTGAAACCAGGTATGTCAAGCAAGACACCTCTCTCTCCTCTAAGTTCATATGTCTGCACCAAAGCGCATCACCTCTGCCTACAAGAATGAGCATTACAAACACATGGCTAAATAACAAAGAAACAAAAGGTGGCAAATGTGGCAAAGTCACTGACAGAGGTCCTTGCATATTCTAATTAGTGCAAGGGACACATCTGGGAGCTGCATCTTTCCTACTGGCAAGAATTACCCCAAAAGTAACTGAAGAATTGTATGCACTGAATAAGGCAAGACGAGATCCCACCGCTACGTGGTCCATGCTCTCGAGCTACAAGAGGGCTCAACACTCGGCAATATCTCCACTGAGTTGGGATTCCAATCGTAAAACATTTGCTTCTAAGGTCAAGATGACAATAGAAGAAGAGGGCCTCTGGTCGCCTTGCTAGGCAGTGGAGAGGACCTGAAGAGAGCGGGAAAATCTAGGATGGGACACTGCTCCCTTCCATGAGGAAGTCCCCAGGGGGGAACAGGCGGGCACACTGCAGAGGTACCCTGAAACCACAGTAAGACACTCAGTACACTTTTATTGTCTTTGCACCTGGGAATCATTCTGGGCCCAAAATCAGGGGAGCATGTGGGAATTAAACTGCCTGTAGCCTAGAGTTAGAAAGTCTCTGACGAGGAGCACTGGGAATACCTCAGAGGAAGGCGGGAGTCTGTTTAGTTTCTAGTTTGATGACAAGCCTGCTAGCCCAGGAATCTTAGCCCCTTCCCGGCAGCCAACAGGCCTTTGAGAGTGACGGCCGTGGCTGCCCGAGCCGGGTCCCCACCTTATCCTCCATGTTGAAGAGTGGCTTCACGTGCTCCCGGTAAAACTCCACGGGCGTGATGGGGCCGATCTTCTGATAATTCTTATCTTTGTCCCGGTACTCCCAGGTGAAGGTCGCTGGTGGGTTACCCAAACAGATGCACACCACTCGGAAGACCTGGGGAAACAGGAGGGCAGGTGAGCGAGGGCTCGGGGAAGGTGTCATTTACCTCTTCATTTCCCTCAAACTTGGGAAACCTAAGAAATCAGTGGCTAGAATCAAGCCAGAAATTTCACCAGAAATCTAATACTGTTCCAAAAATTGGAAGGTTGGTGTCCAGGATTTGATATCAGTCAACTTCTGAATTCTTAAATAAACACTCTGAACAATACAATTCTGAAATATTAAATATTTAGTGCTTAGTATCTGCCCCACATCACTACAGGATGAGTAATTTTAGAAGCACAACTTTCTTCAAGTCGCTTTTCTGTTGAACAGTCATTAATGCTTCCTTAGTACTTCCCACAACAAATCTAAACTCCATGACCTGATTTTTTTTACCTTTCTATAAACTTTCTTACGTAGGCATAACTTACATTCAGTAAGTTGTAAAGTACACTAACCATTAGTATACAGCTCAATTCAATTTTTTACATACATATACACCCATGTAACCACCATTCAGATCAATAACACAGAACATTTGCAGGGCTCCAGAGGTTCTCTGGCCCCTTTGCAGTCAAACTTCCCCCAATGTAAGCACCATTCTCACTTATATAACTATTGATTAGTTTTGCCTGTTCTTTAACTTTATATAAATGGAATCAGACAGCATGCTCTCTTTTGTATCTGGCCTCCTTTGTTGACATAATACCATGAGATTCACTCATGAACCTCACTATTAGTACTTTGACACTGTATCAGTAATTTTTTTTTATTGCTGTGTATTATTCCATCATGTAAATATGTTACAATTTCTCTACTCTCCTATTGATGGATGTGTGAATGGTTTTCAGTCTGGAGTTATTATGAATAATGCTGCTTACCACACTTATCCAAATAGCTTTCAAAGGGGTGGAAGGAATTTATAGACTTACCAGCAAAGTAAGAGAGTTCCAGTTATTCTGTGTGCTTGCTAATACCTGACATTGATTTTACTTATGGTGGTATGTAATGGTACCTCAGTGTGGTTTTAATCTGCATTTCCCTGATAAACGTGGTCAGATTTTAAAGGCTTAGTAACTTCGCCCAACCTTATTTCCCATCAGGGACTCTGAACTCCAGTCAGGCCTGTCTGAGTCTCTCCCCACTCACTGTCGGCTCAATGCACTCAGCTCACTGTCACCTTCACAACTTTGTTTACTGTGTTCCTCAGATCCCAATCCTAGGCCCATGCTTTCAAGCTCAGTGCAAGATGCCCCTCCTCCAGAAAGTTTCCACTAATTCTTCCAGCTCATACTAACCGCTCCCTTTTCTGAATACTTCTGGAATAAAAATTTAACATCTGGTTTCACAGTGCCATTTATGTTTCTCTAATGTCTCTCTTGCTGGACTTAATCTATTAGGGACAGGATCTGGGTCTTAGACATATCCCAGCGAACCCTAGAAGAACCACATTAAAATCGCTTTTCTTAAATCAGTTCTCCAGTGACTGGTGTGAAATTTGAATTTTGGAGTTCAAACTGGGATTCTGCTCTCTTTAAAAACATTCTGATGGTGAGGCCTTATTCACATGTACAGGCAATGCTTCCCTAGACTCCAACATGCAGAACGACGCAGTTAAGTCAAACATGCCTGCTCCAGTCCATCTCTGACAGACTGTGGACCTGCACCTGCCACACGCTGGCTACAGCAAACCATTACCTATCAATTCCATTTATAACTAAGGACATTTCCCTCTTTTTCCTCTAATTAAGGGAAGAACACACTGTTAGTTTCTCACTTCACAGATTAGAATCCTATACACTGGAAAATTCTGTATTGGATGGAGTGATTGCCTAACTTGTTTTCCTAAATTTCAGGTAGTGTACCAAATACAAGTAAGATTAGGGCAACCAATCCTACGCGTGTTGTAATCATTCTTGGAGCAGTGGAGCTATTTTATCTTTTAAAATAATATCCTCCTAAATTCTATGGGCTACTTCTATCCCTATGATTTTAACCAGGGCAAGATGAGAGATATTACAGAGGATCACCTGACCCAAATCACAAAGGAACCTTAAAAGCAGGCCAAAGGGAATGCTTCGAGAGCAAAACAAAGCTATAGCCTATAAGAAACACACCTCTCCTTGGACCCCCACTCTGGAGAACCCTCTTCCCTCACTTTGCCCTCCTCTCCCTTTAGAGATGTCCACTCCCACCTCTGTTCTAGAATCACCTATGCCTGCCTGTTTCTTAACACCCCCACCCTCACCACTTTCATCCTGAAAGGCCACTTAAGGAACTTGTTTTTGGTGCTCCCTGGCCATTCCTGAGTAGTAGTTTTGAGCAGCCAGGACTTCTCTAGATTGACTTTCAGGGAAATTCGGTAAGTACCGAGTCCCTGCCTGCCTTCCTTACCCATCAGGGAACGTGCACCCAAGATTCCCCAGTTCTTAGTCTGCATCCCGTGTCATCATCAACCACTGAAACTACTGTGCAGTTATTTCCCTTCATCATCCCCATGGCATTCTAGGCCTCAAAAAGCCTTGGGACAGAATGAAAACTGATGCTACGGTTTCAATTTATTCTCTGAACCAAAGCTAGGAAACAAGGAATAGGCCTGCCTATGACATTAGGTCTATAATTCAGGATAAAGAGACTCTTAATTCACGTGTTATTACGGAAGACAGAGCCTAATTCTACTGTCTTTTAACAAACGCAGAGTAACTGACAGAGGAAGAGATGCTCGCCTTTCCTTTATTATATTGTTTTCCGAGACAGAATCTTCCTTTACTAGGATTTACTGTGTGGTTTGTGAGCCTGAACCACCTTAACCCATTTCTTTTAATGTCATATCATCCTCAGGTTGGTTTCCAGCACAAAAAGAAGAGGCAGAGCATCACAATAGCAAGCGCAATTGAGCTACTCTAGCCACGATTAACGAGCCCCGGGACCCACGTGAACCAGAGTCATTTTGTATCCGCACAGCACCAAGGCCACAAACGGCAACTTGATCATGAGGACACTGCCACTGGTAAATATGGTCAAGACAATGACAATGAGATGAGGAGAGTTTTATGGACTTAAATGATATGTATCTTCAACTAGTAACTGTTGTCACATGTAAGAACAACTATCTGTGCGATTTTGATCAATTCTCAGTCATCCAAGGGTGGTTTTTCCAGGTCAGCTGGGCCCTGACCAAAAAAAAGGAGAGGCTAGGCCCAGGCCCAGGCCCAACGAAGACTAAGACAACTGAGTAAATTCCTGTTTACTTTTAAGCACATTCTAAATATCAACATGAATGTCTTACACTATAACTTACATAGTGCCTTCTTGTACACAAGACAGGAGCAGTAGAAAGTGTTCAATCATGTCCTCCCCCTCCCCCAAAATGCAGTGGAGGAAATCTGCACTTTCTGCTATCTAAATGAATTGAAGACTTTTGCAGGTTAAATTGCTTATGTTTTATAAATGTGAATTTTTAACACTGGTACAGGTAAGGAATGAATGAGAATAAGGATGGCATCTCTTTCCCTTGGACTTCAGTAGAACTGTGATTTGAGACATGCTGCAGTGTTTTGTACCCAAAGCCATTCACACTCAAGTCAGTTTATAACATTTTAGAAGGAATATTTGGCTCCAAGCCAATTAATGATAGTTAATTAAACAAGCTCTAATTAAAAAAAAAAAATCTCCAAAGTATAATCTCCAGGGTCCCTGACGCTACATTTTCTTGACAGAGACTCTGCTGTTCTGAAATAACATTCCCTGTTCCCAAAGGTACGAAACTGGCAGTGAGCTCTGGATGTCCAAGTCTGCTCTCTGGTGGGCAGCCTGGGTGTGTCACCTGCTTCTCGTGAAGATGCACTTGGCATATGGGACAAAAAAAGATACGGGACATTGAACACAAGTTATTATACAGAGCTGAGTATTCCTGAATGAGAGAATCAGGATAGGAAACGGAAAGAAGAAGAACACAGAACGCGTGAGACCTGGAACCCGGGGAAAGGACGTGTGGCTCCCAGTGTGGGACTGAGTTAGCTCCCACGGCCACGGCAACTAGAGACAGACACCAAGTGAGGGGAAGGAGGCAGGATGGAAGAGCTGACCGTCAGTCATAAAAACCTACAAGGGTGAGAGTTTAAAACCAGCTACAGGCAGACACAATACCAAACTACTGAGAGTGTACAGGAAGGTCTAAAGTACTGGAGAAACATTAGTTATTTCTATTATGAAAATGCAAAGCTATAGGGTCCTTAAGAAATTACCTACCCCAACTTTTTAGTTTTATTGACAGAGAAACTAGGCACAAAGGTAAAATGACATATTGATCACAGTAGAATGGCCACAAGTCCATAAAAGTAGTCACAGTATACAGCTGAGCTTTGAAGAAAGCTCAGTACTGCTGGTAAATGAGCTAGTTCCAAGAGGGAAAGAGTAGGGACCTTGGTGACTATAGAAACGCAGAGAAAGGGGAAAGAAGGGAAGACGGCTCTCTACTGCTTTCTGGTGGGGAATGAAAGAAAGGCAAGGATCTATTTAAAAAATAAAAATTAAAACAAACAAAAAACCCCGTGCCTGCAAAAGCAGGCAAGGAGATACTTTCTGGAGGCATTAAATATATTTCCAGGCAAAGAAAACACATAAAAAGGTACATTTAAAAAGTATGTGCCCTTCCTTCTGTGATGTTAAAGGAAATGAGCTCATAAAGGGAGCTCCATATAGGTTATAATAGTCAAACGATGATCTTGAGACTACTTCTAGAGTGGTGTTGGAATCAAAGAAATAGTTAGAAATGCAGTCTCAGCCCCACCCCTGATCTATTGAATCTGCATTTTAACAAGATCTCCAGGGGATGCACACACACCTCAAAGTTTGAAAGCACTTTAGACCACACCTGCTCTCCCCTTCCTCTAACGCCTTGCTCCTTCAATGATCATTTCTCTCACCTGCACATCCCCTTCCACACAATGGCTCCCTCACACCGCCCCAACCGCCAAAAGGCCTTCTCTCATATTTACAAGCCGCCCCCT